TATCTCAAAGATCACACTAAGGATTAAAATATATACTATACTAGAATATATAACATGTTAGAATATATATATAATCTAACGCAGTTTCTAGCAATGGAAAAAATGGCAGTTGTTACCTCAATTAGAGGAAAACTTACACAAATGGGAGGAAGAAGACACGGATCTCTAGAAGCAGCTTATTATTACATACCAGTTTACAAACTAATTTCAATAGACGCCATCTTATCTGACCTTGGAAGAAAGTCCCAGAGATAGGAAAGCTGAGACACGGTGTCATTTTTTTCTAGGTTCTTGTCCCTATCAGAGAGGAAACAAAGTAAGGAATTTGGAGAAGTTTGTTTTAGACTGGAAGTACACACTCACATGGGCTTTTCAAGGGAGCTGGTGGCACGGGATTTGGGATTTTGCTCATCTTACAAGCAAACATTAAAGTAGGAGAAGACTGTTGCTGGGAAGATGATGGCTCAGCCGTTAAAAGCACTTTATGTTCTTCCAGAGGACCCAGGTTCTAGTCCCAACACTCAGAAGGTGGCTACATGGTCTATAACTCCAGTTCCATGGGATCCAAAATGCAGTACACACACATACATGCAGGAAAAACACCATACACATAAAATAAAAGTGAAAAAATTAAAAAGAAGAAGATCCTCCATAAATTAAGGTGGGGGAAAGGTAAGAAATCCCAGACACATGTTGGGGTTCTTTTCCTTAAATATCTTTCAGTCATTTGAGATTCTTCTGTTGAGAATTCTCTATTTAGATCTGTAACTGATTTTTTTATTGGATTATTTGTTTTTTTGATGTCTAGTTTCTTGAGTTCTTTGTATATTTTAGAGATCAGTCCTCTGACAATGTGGAGTTGGTGAAGATCTTTTTCCATTCTGTAGTTTGTTGTTTTGTCTTGTTGACTGTGTCCTTTGCTACACAGAAACTTCTCAGTTTCAGGAGGTCCCATTTATTAATTGTTTCTTTCAGTGTCTGTGTTATTGAGGTTTTATTTAGGAAGTGGTCTTCTGCCAATGCATTCAAGGCTACTTTCCACTTTCTCTCCTACAAGGTTCAGTGTGGTTGGCTTTATGTCGAGGTCTTTGATCCATTTGGACTTGAGTTTTGTGGGTGATAGATATGGATCTTTTTGCATTCTTCTACATGTCAACATCCAGTTATGCCAGCACCATTTGTTGAAGATGCTTTCTTTGTTCCATTTTATAAACTTTTGCTCCTTTGTCAAAAATCAGGTGTTCATAGTGTGTGAATTGATATCTGGGTCTTTGATTTGATTCCATTGGTCCACCTTCTGTTTTTATGCCAATACCAACTTGTTTTCAGTACTGTAGCTATAGTAGAATTTCAAGGAAGGTATGGTGATGCCTCTAGACGTTCCTTTGTTGTACAGAATCGTTTTTGCTAGCCTAGGTTTTTGTTTGTTTGTTTGTTTTTCCATATAAAGTTTAATATTATTCTTTTGAGGTCTGTGAAGAATTTTTCTGGAAATTTGATGAAAATTGCATTGAATCTATAGATTGCTTTTAATAAGATTGCCATTTTTACCATGTTAATCCTACCTATCCAAGAGCATGGGCGATCTTTCCATTTTCTGGTGTCTTCTTTGCTTCTTTCTTCAAAGATTTAAAATTCTTGTCATACAGGTCCTTCGCTTGTTTGGTTATAATTACCCAGAGAAACTTTATGTTATTTTTGGCTATTGTAAAGGGTGATGTTTCTCTGGGTTTCTTTCTTGGCCCCTTTTTCATTTGTATATAGGAGGGTTACTAATTTCTTTTTTTTTTTTTTAGTTAATCTTATATTCTGCCATATTACTGAAGGTGTTAACAACTGTAGGAGTTCCCTGGTAGAATTTTTGGGGTCACTTACACAAACTATCATGTCATCAACAAATAGCAAAAGTTTGACTTCTTTTCCAATTTGTAACCTCTTGATCTCCTTTTGTTGTCTTGTTGCTCTAGCTAGAACTTCAAGTACTATACTGAATAGATATGGAGAGAGTGAACAGTCTTTTCTTGTTCCTGATTTCAGTGGGCTCGTTTTGAGTTTCTCCCCATTTACTTTGATGCTGGCTGTTGGCTTGCTGTATATTGCCTTAATTATGTTTAAGTGTATTATTTGCATCCCTGCTCTCTCTCCAAGACCTTTATCATAAAGGGGTGTTGAATTTTGTTGAAGGCTTTTTCAGCATCTAGGTTTTTTTTCTTTCTGTTTATTTATATGGTAGGTTACATTGATTGATTTTCATATGTTGAACCATCCTGCATCTCTAGGATGAAGCCTACTTGATCATGGTGGATGATTTTTTCTGATGTGTTCTTGGATTCGGTTTGCCAGTATTTTATTGAGTATTTTTGCATCAATGTTCACAAAGTAGATTGGTCTGTAGTTCTCTTTATTAGTTATGTCTTTGTATGGATTGGGTATCAGGGTAACTGGGTGGTGGTGGCACATGCCTTTAATCCCAGAATTTGGGAGGCAGCGGCAGTTGAGTTCAAGGCCAGCTAAGTCTACAGAGTTATTCCCTTCTTAACCTGTTGGTTTAAGGTCATTAAAAGTCCAAAGTGATCAAGGGAAGTCTGAGCTTCCAGTTCAGTGGAAGGTTTGTTGTGGGTCCTGGCAAGAGAACTACCCTTTCTGGAACCAAATTTTCTAGGCCAGCAGAACTTACGGCTGTGGAAACAGGAAGTAAAAGTTTCCTAGTAGGTCACTAGGGTGACAGTGAGTGGAACTATTTCCCTTTCTACTCCTTAATTCCAGAACTCATGGATCCTGGCTATGGGAGAAATAGTACCATATGCTGGACACTGATTCAAAGCTTGTACTGGCTTCTGGAGAACCCTGCCACAGCCCTCCATGCTGTTGTCACCTAACTGCCACTATGACTGTGTCTTTAAATGCCCATTCCATCTTTCTATCAGGTCAGCTGCTTTGGGATGGTGGGGAACATGGTAAGACCAGAGGATTCCATGATCGTGGGCCCACTGTCTCACTTCTCTGGCTGTGAAGTGAGTTCCGTGGTCAGAAGCAATACAGTGTAAAATACCATGCCAGTAGATAAGACATTCTGTAAGTCCACATTTGGTGGTTTTAGCAGAAGCATTACATGCAGGAAAAGTGAAACTATAATCAAAATAAGTATCTTCTCTAGTAAGAACAAAGCATTGTCCTTTCCATGGAAGAAGTGATCCAAGGTAATCAACCTGTTACCAAGTTACTAGCTGGTCAACCAAGGAAATGGTGCCATATCTGGGGCTCAGTGTTGGTTTTGCCATTGGCAGACTCAGCAACAGCAGTAGCCAGGTCAGCCTTGGTGAGCGGAAGTCAAACTGTTGAGTCCATACATAACTCCCATCTCAGCCACCATGGCCATTTGTTCAAGGGCCCAAAGGGCAATGACAAGAATGAATGAGGAAAGAGGAGGACTGTCCACAGGACAGGTCAGCTTATTATTTAATTATTGAACTCCTCCTCAGCTGAAGTCACCTTATGATGAGCATTTACATGGGAAACAAGTATCTTCACATCCTTTGCCCATTTGGTAAGATCTATCCACATACTTCTTCCTCCAGATGTTTTTCTCATAAATTGTCCAATTATGTCCTTTATGAATCCCCCGACCATTCAGCCAGTCCATTGGCTACAGCCCAGGCATCAGTGAACAATTGCACATCTGGACATCTCTCCTTCCGAACAAACTATAATACCATGTGTACAGCCTGAAGTTCTGCCCACTGTGAAGATTTCCCTTCGCTGGTATCTTTCAGGGTTGTCCCCAAAAGGGGTTGTAATGCTGCAGCTGTCCACTGCTGGGTGGTACCTGCATAACGTGTAGAACCATCAGTAAAGTCAGCCCTAGTCTGCTCTTCTCAGTCAATAGATCAAAGGGAACACCCCATGAGACTAGGTGCATGCTTGGGAACAGACAGCATTGTAACAGGAGTGGAAACCAGAGACATTTGGGCAACTTCTTCATGTCGCTAGCTAGTGTCTTCAGAACCCACTCAGGCCTGATCTCATATATACCACTTCCATATGATTATAACCAGTTGCTATGCATATCTTACTTTATGACAGGGTGGATCTGATAACATGGAGCTCATGATGGGTGTAACTCAGGTGACATGGTAACTTGGTGGCCATTGTCAAACATTCAGTTTCCACTAAGGCCCGATAGCAGGCCAAGAGCTGTCTTTCAAAGAGGGAATAGTTGTCTGCAGTTGACGGTAGAGCCTTGCTCTGAAATCCAGAGGTCTCTTCTGTGGTTCACTTATGAGGGCCTGCCAAAGGCAGCATCCTTATCTGTCATTGACACTTCAAGTACCATAGAGTCTGCTGAATCATATGGTCCAAGTGATAGAGCAGCCTGTATGGCAGTCTGGACCTGTTGAAGAGCCGTCTCCTGTTCCAGGCCGCAAACAAAGCTAGCAGATTTCTGAACCACGTGGTATGTGGTACCAACACACTGGGGCATTACTATGATAGACCTGACCTTGTTTTCAGGAGGATTATGGAAGGACTTTGAAACTCTGGGCTAGAAAAGTCATTGAGTGTTGAGACCTCAGTGGGATGTTTTGTGGGAGATGGAAGACAGGATATTGAGAGAAGAGCAGAGGATGGAAGCCTGACTTGCAAGTTTTCAGAGGGGAGTTTGAAGACTCTGGCAGGACCATTTGTTATTTTGAATTAAGATCCTGTGGTTCTGGTTAGCTGGGGCTGAAGAATCAACTGTGATTAACAAGGTACCAGAACTACAAAGGCAAGACTTTGCGGGGATGCTGGAGACTGGTCGACTAGAGCTAAGAAATTAGTGGTGATTAAGAAGAAAACAGCATCTTTCCAAGGTTGTAGCTCATGCTGGCAGGCAGATTTGGTAATGTCTAAGAGTCACCCAGGTGGTACTGGTTATGAAGGCATAAAGGGGTCATGGAGAGCAGTTGAGGCGTGGCACTATGGGAGACAGGAAAGGTCACTGATTAAGGTGCAGCCTCAGTGGCAATTGAAGGTGAAGGGGTCATGCAAATGAGTTGAGGTTTGGCACCATGAAGAGAGCCTCTGAGGGGCTATTGGTGAAAGTGCAGCCCGGATGCAGCAAGGGACCCCAGCATATTGGAGATGCCAGCGTCATGCGAAGACCACCAAGAACAGTAGCAGAAATAGAGTGGAACCAGCCCGTGCCTGGAAGACAAGCTGTGTGTGCTTCAGAGGGCAGAGCCAGAGAAGTGACCCAACCGCTTTGAAGGAGTCCAGAAGATTGTGAATGGATCCCAGGAATTGGATGGGTAGAATTTTGTTTTGCTTTAATTTGGTTGTGACTGTGCCCTGGTTTTTCCCTCTTGAAGTAAAGTATTTTTACTGGAGTCCATAGTTGAGAGACTTGAATTTTAAAAGACTTTGGGTTTTTAAAGAGACTGACTATTTTTAAGGAACTGAAATTTTAATGTGTTTGAACTTGTAAAGGCTGTGGGACTTTTAATGCTATTTAAGATCGTGGGGATGAATAAGAAAGGAAGGGTTGAGGCTTAATAGTGATGTGTTTGTGTGCCAAGTTGACAAGGGGTCAGTTGTACTTGATTTTGGTGTGTCAACTTGACACATGATAGAGAATCATCAGAGGAAGGAGCCTCAGCTGAGGAAATACCTCCTTGAGATCCAGCTGTAAGGCATTTTCTCATTTAGTGATCAATAGGTAAGGGTGTAGCCTATGGAGGGAGGTGTCATCCCTGAGCTGTTGATCCTGAGTTCTATAAGCAGATGGGCTAAGCAAGCCAGGGGAAACAAGCCAGTAAGCAGCTCCCCTTCATGGCCTCTGCATCAGTTCCTGCCTCTGGGATCCTGCCCTGTTTGCGTTCCTGTCCTGACTTCCTTGAATGCTGAGCAGCAATGCTGAAGTGTAAGCCTGATAAACCCTTTCCTCCCCAACTTGTCTTTTGGCCATGCTGTTTCATCACAGCAATAGAAACCCTAAGTCAGGCACCTACCCCAAACACCTCAACTTACTTTCAAAGTTATCTACAGTGCAAAAGGAACCATCAGGCAACCAACAGCGGTTTCAAACCCTCCAGTCTACAAATGACACTTAGCTTACTTTTAATTGCATTTCTTTACTTAGTGAGTGGAACGGGGGTGCACTTGGAAGCGTCAAAAGACAACTTGAGGGGGTCAGTCTTCTCCTTCCCCCATGTGCACCCTAGGGATCAAACACAGGTTGTCAGGCTTGGTAGCGAGTACCATTATCCCTGAGTCTTCTTGCTGCCCTTTCGTGATACTCAACACAGCCGCCTCTAGGATGGTGAGATGGCTCCGCAGGTAAAACACTTGCCACACAAGCCTGATGGCCTAAATTCAATCCACATAAAGGCTTAGAGAGACAATGGGCCCACAATGCTGTCCTCTGAACTCCACACATACGCTGTGGCACACGTGTGTGTATACACACACCACACAAGCACATTCTTTTCAATGTCTCCCTTATGAAGCTCACAGCCTGTCGTTTAAAGTGCTTCTAGTTCATTCCTGTGCTCCTTAGAGCTTCCAGGGTTTGTCTCGACTGCATTGAAAGTGTTTCCATAACATCCACAGTAAGATTGAGATCTAAATTATTAGAATGAAAATCCTCTGTCCTGAGGCATAAGCTAATGAAAACAGATATTATTTTTATTCATTTCCCTAAACTCCTGGTGTGGAAGGTGCTCTAGTCAGGACTATTTTCTCTTGAAGTTTCTCAACCATGAAAAACATTACCCAAAGAATTGTAACACTGAGATTATAAAAAAGTGTATCACCCTTTACAGATCAATATTTCATCTGAATACAGGCTGGTTCTGTGTTCCTAGATTTCTGTCAGGACCATTCATAGTTCAGCACTTCATAATTACATACAATTAACAGCTCGGAGGCTGAGTGCCTAGAAGCTCTGACAGCTACAAATCCGTTTTACAGGAGTGTATGGGGTTTTTTTTTCTCCATTGATTTTCTTTATTGTTATTTTGCCTGTTGCCTATTAACATGCCTCTGGGGACTCTTTCCACGATGTAATGTTAGCAAGTAAACACCGTGAGAGTGCCAGCCAGCCTTTCCAGACGACTTTCTTTCTTTTCAAGGCACAGAAAGAGGGAGATGAACTGACACGCTGTTATGCAGCAAAACAGAATTATGCAAAAAATGCAAAATTATGCAAAATATCTATGCAGAGCACATCCCTGAAGAATAGAAGGCATCATTGATTAAGACTAGGAAAGAAAGGAGGAATATATCTGAATATTACTGCCTACTAAAAAGTCTTGTTTGTACAAGGGCGCCGTAGGTATTTCAATGCAAAAGACAGGACTGTCTGTCCTGGGACCAAATGAAAGGACAAGGCACTGGGGGATATAAAAAATAGTAATTTGCAAGGAGTGTACGGATACAAAGATCTGTCTGGCTCAAGACTCACTACAGGGTAATAATAAAGTCACAAAACCAACAACAATATGAACACAACTAACATTTACTGAATGTACCATGTCATAGCATTGTTCTGAACACTTCTAGTTTGTTTTCTATTTCTGTGATTAAAAACCAAAAGCTTGCTTAAGGAGGAAAGGCTTCATGTGGCTTATACCTCCAAATAACAGTCCATCACTGAGGGAAGTCATGGCAGAAATTCAAGCAGGAACCTGGAAACAGGAGCCAAAGCAGAGAACATGGACGAATGCTGCTTGCTGGCTTGCTCTCCTCGGCTTGTTCAGTCTGCTTCCTTAACACAGTCTAGGACCATCTGCCCAAGGGTAGGCAGATGACCAGACAGTAGGACTGGCCTTCCCATATCAATTACTAGCTAAGAAAATGCCCCACATTCATGATCATTGTCTGGAGACAATTCCTACTTGTCATCCTTCTTCCAGGCAACTCTAGTGTACATCCACAAAAAAAATTAACAAGCACAACCTTGCATACGCTTGTTCACTGAATTCTCAGGACCAGTCTGTAAAGCAGCCAACATTGTCACCTCATTTCACAGGCCAGAGAAGAGAAGGTCTTTGCTGTGGTCACACAGTGAATAAATGAACAAGTAAGAATAGCAATTTGAGCCTTGATGGCTGTCTCTGAAGTTCCTGCCTTTCAGCTGCTAAAGAACGGGACTCAGGCTGGTGAGACAGATCAGTAAGTGAAAACGTTTGCCTCACCAGCCAGATGACCTGAGTTCAACCCCTACCACACAAAGACGGAAGGGGAGAACCAAATCCACAAAGTTGTCCTCCGACTGCCACATGTACCAACACACACATCATGCATGCACATAATAAATAAGAAATTTTTTAAAATGGGCCTCCACCATTGGGGAATTTTAGAACAAGATTCTACATTTCTGGGCTCATCCGGTCTTTTAAGGCAAATGAAAGCGATAGGCATCCCTCCTTATGGAAACTTACCTAAACTTATTTCACAGTTGGCAAATGTCAAAGGCACAAGAAACTCCTTGAGGTGCATCCTTGGATCTCTATTCTAGATGAAACAGGGAATAAAAAAATGACAATTGAGACTGATTCTAGAAACTCATGGATGCAATAAATGACAACCACCCTGCTTGGGGTGGGGTGGGACACGGGACACGCACACCAGCTCACCTACTGGCAAGAGGATCTGATAATGTGCCCTTTTTTGTTCTCTGACTTACACTAAGATTGTGAACTTAAAATTACATTTTGTTCATACGTTTCTAATTCGTACAATTAGTTCTCACTTAATGCTTCCCCTGGCTACCCAAGAGCAGTCAGTTACAGCGACCACTATGGACCGACGGGAGACAGAAAGTTGGCTCTGTGCACGCAGTCTTATTATGGAGCTCCCCCATTCCCCTAGGCTCCCTACAAAGTGCAAGCTGCATCGTTCCGTTTTGTTCAGAAGTCAGAGGAATAGGGACTCAGATAAGAGAACAATGCCAATACTTTTGCTAAAAAGTGATAGTTATTTTGGTAGTTTACCAGTATTTACAATGTATTCATACTAGTGGAATCAGCAGATTCTACCCTGATGGAAGATGCCAAGTTCAGTGGACCAAAATTCTGTCCCTTGCTCACAACCTGAAAATGCCTTGGGGGAAGAAACAAGCTCTATGAAGGAACTCCTCTCGCCAGGGTTGGGAACAGTTTCAGAAGATGTGGGGATGCAGTCAGGTATTGATGGAGGGTAAGTGAATAGAGAAAGAGAGCTGTGTAAGAAACAGAACGATCCCTACTTCAGGTCAAAGAATTTTATGCCCTTTATGCCCTTGGTTCCCAAACTTCAGAGTGCACATCACTCATTTCAGTACTTGCCAAAATCCCAGCTCGCCAGGGCCTGCTCAGAACCGCTAAGCCAATTGACACATGCTTGCTAAACTGTGACGTAAATGCAAGTGTGTGTACAAAGAGCATCCTTGGGCAGAGACAGAACAGAAAGAGTGCCAGGCAAACTGACGGAGGAGCGTTCTACCCGCTGCACAGAGGAAAGCATGCACGCGGAAATCCGAGACCCATTTGACCACATCCATGGAAGTTCCTGGGTGTCACAAGTCTACCCGAAGATACCCACGCATTGAGTAGGGAGGCAGAAGTCAGAAACAGCCCTCACCAGCCAAGCCAAGCACACGCAAGGCCTCCCCTGGCCCACAGAAAGTGTCCCTCACAATGCATGGCTCAGTAGAGGCCCAGTAGACAATGTTGGCAGACCCTCCTCTCTGAGGAGCAGAGATGACCCTACACCCTCACTGTAGCAATCCAGACTTACCACGGACCTAATAATGAGCAGCAACCACACTTGTTTGTGGTTTCACTCTCACAGGTCACCATTTCCTCTGGGGACAGGCAGGGGAATGAAAAGCCCCCTCTAGGAGGCCTTAACCTCCCTGAGGAGCCATGGGGGGGAAAGGGAAGAGTGGGAGGAGAGGAGGGAGGGGAAACTGGAATTGGTATGTAAATTATCAATTAATTAATTAATTTTAAAAAAAAGAAAAGTCCCCTCTAATAGACTCCATCTTTGCTCAGTACAGGGAGATGGGAAGATCCTGTGAATAAAAATCTTCCAGGGCCTCTGGCTGCCGCTAACTAACATGGGAGACACTGTCTATACCTTAATACTTTGCCTCAGTGACCCAGCATTAGCGAGAGCCTAGACTGAACCCCTGGGAAGGCTTACATTTACTCTTTACTGAGCTACAAGCAGATCAGACTCATTCACATTTAGCCCTTCCAGAGAGGCCCTGTGCACTTGAACTCTGAGGCTCCAGCATACCTCTAAGCGAGCAAAGCACATTCTACTCCAGGGCTGGACATCCATCAGAACACTTTGGGGTGTGCCTAAAGCTCTACTGCCCAGAAGGCTGGGGCTGCAGGACCACATGAGTCCGGTACTGGAGTTCTAAGCCAGCCTGGGCAACACAGTGAGATACTATCTTTTAAAAAGGGGGTACGGAGTAAACCTTCCATCTTTTAAAATGGGAGGCTTGAGTTCCCACCACTCCTGAGGGGAGCCCTCCCTCAGCTCTCTTGCTCCAAGCTCATAACATTCTGAGCTTGACTGTCAAGGAAGTGTGTTGTCCCTTAATCAGCCCTGACCAAACAGCCTATGTATTTATTCAGGGTCAAGTGGTTTCTGCTGAAATGGATCAGATCTCCTACAAGATGGCTGAAAAGGGTAAATACCGTCCAGCTGGGACTCTGTTCGGCGTTTGCTTCACTATAACACTGTTATTGCACTTAGGTAAGGAAGGGGACATGGGGAGGGCAGGATTGTGCGATGATTAAATGCAAAATAATTGTTGAAAATATTTGTATTTGTCTAAACAACACTAACTTTTTAGGACTGTCATTTACAGCAAATTGTTGGATATGAATTTTTTGGCAGCAATAATCAGGCATTTTTCATAAAATGGCTTATTTTGCAAGAAAATCACCAAATAATGGCAGAAAAACACCCGGTTCTAAATACAATGAAGCATAAGGAGGCCGACTCTAGATTAAAACGGCTCTCACGCTGCGGGTACAGCCCCGAGTCCTGAAATAATGTCTTGCTGTGGCAGTGTTCGTGGGGAGCTGCTGCTGAGGTGTTAATGGGCCCCACGCGGGTCTTTAGAGTGGCTTCCTCGCGGGGCATGAGTAATATCTGGACTAAGGGGGTACCAGGGGGAGTAAACAGGACTGAGTTCCCAGGAGAACAAAAGCGCTCTGCTCTGCGCCGGAGGAGATGTGCAAGCTTCTGCCCAGTACTGGGCTGTTCACCTCTTGAGGGAAGAGTCCTGCAAACAGCTTCTCATGAAAGCCACAAGCAAGACAGGAACTCCCGAGCCTCACAGCAGATTGCTCTCCTACAGTCACTGTGCCTCTGTGGCAAAACAAGAGGTTGGCACGGGGTTTCTCAGTATCCACTTTGCTGAATCTTTCCCTGCAGTCTCATCTGCCTCAAAAAGCTCCCTCCGAAACGCACTCTCTGGTTAATAACTTGTGTCCACTCAATGGAAAGGTACTGGGTGGGGGGGGGGGGGGCGCCCGCCCGCGGCCGCGCGCGGGGGGGGGGAGCCGCGTGACAGTGAGTCAGTGGATGTGATTAAATGCTAGGGTGATGAGGGTGCCTCTAAAGCTGAAGTCACTGGAAATTTGTTCAATTGTATTATCAAATACAAATTATTTTTAAAGGACCCTTCTGGTTTTCAGTAACACCTGAGTTCATAGGTTCAAATATGAACTACAGATGTATAAGCCCTTTTGATCCGTTTTTTTCTTCCACTTCCGGATCTGTCTTCAGTTCAGTTTAGCACATGTGAACTGAGGGTCTTCATGCATCTATGTCTTTCTATTAGTGACCAAGAGCAAGTGACTTCCTTCAGCAGCCCCGGAAGTCATCCATGAGGCAGCCCCACCCTGTGTGCAGCCACAACCTCACCTCCTCCATTTGAGCTCGGTTGACCCTCCTTCTCTCCCAATCTCCTCTCTGGTGTCCCTGCTGTCCTTAATACCAAATGGCACACCCTCCCTCTGCTCCACGCAGCAGCACGCGCTGCCTGGAGTACACCGCTTACAGTTCTCTCCCAATTTATTCCTCCGCTTTTTTCTAGGTTGCACTACAGAATTAAACCACGTTCACCCAACCTTTGCTGGGGTCTATAAACTGCCAGGCTCTACCTGCTCCGGCCTTTGCCCCATTTGGAAATAAATTGATCCCATTGGCTTCAAGTATATATTGTTTGTCTCGGAGTTGGAATTTGTGGAAAGCATTTTTGACTTTTTTAGTCAAAACTTGTCACCTAATGCCTGCCCTGAACCTCTCAGACTGTCGCCCAGATAACTGAGGGCAGTGCTTGCTATAGAGCATCCATGAATACGCAGACAAATGCTGACTGACTTAATCAACCAGGAGTACAGCAGGCTCACTTTTATTCCATAGTTTTATTGTTGGAAAGGGGGATCATAAATGCACACATCCACTCTTCGTTTTCAACATGCAAAATGCTATCTTTGTGTTAAGTAGGGATGAAATCACTTAAAGCATTGGGCCTGATGATCCCAGCCGTGAGGAGACAATGGCCCAGCACCAAGTAAGCCACGTCCCTGTAGAGGAAGGGTGAGCCTCAGGCTCTTGATCACCATTTGATATCACTACAGTTGAGGGAATGAAGGAGCAGCTTGCAGACCTGGCATGAAAGAAGCATTTTGTTCCTATTCAACTCCTCCAGGTCCTAACACTCACATACTGGCCAGAAAACTACACTGATAAAGCGGGAAGATGATGGTGTAATAGCTCGGATAAGCCAGATAAACCCTACATTTGTGCCTGACCGCTATGGGGATCCACACTCAAACACTGACATGTACCAAAGTCCTCTTTGGGGACAGTAATTCAAAAAAAAGTGGCCATATGAGACAATTTCTGTATAGCACCATCCCTCAGGACACCCTGGGAGGCCAGCTGGACCGCAGACATTTAGCCCTGACATTGCCTCTCCATCAGATCCACGTTATTCTGTGGGTGGTAAAGAGCAAGGGCTAAAACAAGTGGTTTTGAAATTTCTTTCTCAATTGTCTCATCTATAAAGTAGAATAATAACACCTGAATATGAAACATTTAATGAGCCAAACAATACCTCTAACACCCATAATGCCTGTGACTCTTGCCATCAGCCCAACTCTCTTTCCCTGACAGAAGTCTCTCCTCTTCCTCCTCACCCATCTTCAGCTTCCAGTTTTCTCCTGCTTCTCTCTTTCCTTCCATCCTCACCCTTTCCTACAGCCAGGGAAGTATAAGGACCATTTCTGAAATCACGTTTGAACCAAGAGAAGGTGATGACTCCTGCCTCTCCTGCTCAACATAGACCTCCTGCAGCTCCATCCCCATCCCATTTGCGTTGTCCCAACACTGTTGTCTCTGCTCTAGAAACAGTTTAACTTCTCAGCATGCAGAACACTCTCCTAGACAGGCACCTTAGGAGGTTCTAAAGAAACCTTCTCACCCAGTGTCTGATTGCCAATACTCTTGGTCAAACTGAGTGGCTTTGAAATCACCCAAAAGACATGCCTATAGGTGTGTGTGAGAAGATGATTCTAGAGAGGTCGGACCCAGATAGGCAGACCCAGTCTGGGCAGCACCATCCCATGACTAGGGTCTCATATTGAATTAAAACAAAGAGCTCACTGTGCACCAACATTTGTCTTTCTCTGTTGCCTGCCTATAGACTCATGCAACCAGGCTCCTCACGTTCCCACTGCCCACGCCTTCCCTGCCAGTATACGTTGTATTTCTGCAATCTGTTAGATAAAAATAAACCCTTCTCCTGAAAGTTTGCTTGTGTCGGCTACTTTGTTATAGCAACAAGAAGACGAGTCAACACATACTGTGCCCCAGGATAAGGAAGCATTCTAGGACCTTCCATCTTGACCAAGATTTACCCAGAAAGTAAATTTTATTTAGAAAATGATCGACTATACGTAGGTATATTGAAAAAAATAGACACTTGCCTCTGTTTATATAATTCTCTGCCTTCACTAAGACATTTGTGCTTTGTCTTTTAAAGACGTAAAATGCAACGCAGAAGATTACTGCAGTTTCAGTTTTACTGGAATTTGGCGTGCCTTTGGACCTTGTTTTGGTTTCCACTTGTGGAATCTCTGGTTAATATTTCTGTCCCCCAGCATGTTTCTGCTATAGTAATGGAAAAATGTTTTGCTCTCTAGGAGCTAAAATACCACATAGAAAAGACCTAGTAACACGCCCTTCAGTAAATTATCAAAGAATGTAACTGTATCATTTATTTATTGAGCAATGAAGCTGCTTTCATAGCACAAGGGTTTCAACAAGTGCCTAAGTGTTGACTGACCTCTCCTCTCCTTGCTGTGAAAAGCAGAATAATTGTCCAAGGTTCTGTACATCCTATTCCCCAACACTTGTGCAGATGTTACCAAATATGGAGGGGGGAATGTTTCTAGGGCTATGGACCTTGGGATAAGGAGATTTTTCTTGACTTCTTCGTGAAGTCTCTCAGTCTAATCATACGAGTCTTTAAAAGTGGGCCCTCTTGGGGTTGGAGAGATGACTCAGGATTGAGAGCACTGTCTGCTCTCCTTGAGGATCCAGGTGCAGTTCCTAGCACCCCCACATGGTGCCTCACAACCACCGATAGCTCCAGTTCCATGGGATCCAACACTCTCTTCTGGCCTCCATGAGCACCAGGCACACACATGGTACCCATACATACATGCAGAAAAAAACATTCATACACATAAAATAACTAAATCTATTTTAAAGACTTGAAGCGGGAGCTCTTTCCCAGCTGTGGGTATAGAGGTAAGCAGCGTCAGAGAAGGGCAAAGTGAAGACTGTGTGTGCCATTGCTGGCTTTGAAGGCTGAGGAAGGAAAAGAAACCACAGGGTGCTGCAGCATCTGGAACAACTTTTCTCCCTAGAATCCTCAGGACGGATGCAGTCTTGTCTGACCCTTGCACGTTCTCTACACCCAGGCCGGTGTACGTCTGTGCACTGATGCCTTAGATTTGCAGTGTCTCAGTCCACCAAGTTTGTGATCATTTGTTACACCAATAATAGGAAACAACCCTGCTGACTGAACCAACCTTCATTCCAGAGCCTACTGGAATGTGAAGCTGTTGGAGCAACTTAGAGGGTGGCCGTTAGGAGCAGATTGGGTCGTCACTGCTGCTTTCCTTAGGTGTGCTCTTCCGTTACTGGTGAAGGACCTTCTGACAGTAGGAAATTCCAAATCAGTACGCAAAAAGATCGGTGTTATGATATGACAATATACTGCTTTATGGATTATGCAACTTATGAATTATTATGACCACTAAGAAATGTTGTTGCACATTGCAGTGCACACCAGTCACTCCAGCACTAGGTGAAAGCAGCAGAAACAAGGATGCACAACCAACCTGTACTAAAAAACCAACAAAAAAAAAAAGGAAAAGGAAGAACTCTACTGCTGAAATGATTCCGTACAAAACGAATCATTGTTCCTCTACTTGGAGAAACTATGCATATAAGTAAGAAGGTAGTAAAGAAGCTGACATTGTCTTGCTGATGATGCCGAATGATCGCACAAGATCTTGGTCTACTGCAGGAGACTTGTCTAACTTCGGTTGAGCCAGGTGTGTTGTTGAACACCTATAATCCCAGCACTTGGGAGGCTAAAATACGAGAGGATCCCAGGTTAGAAGCCAGCCTGAGCTACATGGTAGAACAACTGGTTGAGATGGCATTATGATGAAAATATGATGGACAGTCATGTGCGGCTGGTTGATCGTGGTCTGTCCCTATTTGGGATGGAAAGAGAGAGGGGTCAAGGTAAGGTGGGGAAGATTATAAAGCCAGGAAAACGAAGTCCAGCCTCACACAGCAGTCAGTTACTGTTGATTGGACAAAAGTGTCTGGAGGCCGAGTCAATTTATTTCTTTGAAATCATACAATGTACAATTAATATAGGCTTGAAGCTTGTTCACTTAACACTTGTGTGTGACAGATCTTCCTTTCCGGAAGTTCTTAATCAAACTACTAGCACATACTGTGAATCCCCAAAATTGTACACTTACACAGTAAAGGCAAAAGCTGCCACTGTTTGAGTTTGCATTAGTGAAGCTTCTGCATAACTGACCCTATAATGTGAAATTTCTTGGTTGCATTTGTCCTTTTCAAAAATCAACTGAGCTCACAGAATTGCATGTAGCGGCCTCCCTTCGGGTTTCGCAATGCAGATAAAAATGTTACCGATTTGAGGAGAATTCAATTTTTTTTTCCTTCAGGGAGCTGTGCAGTGGTCACATTTTATTTTTCATTTCTGGCAAATTGACAGATGACAGAGCCCAGGGTGACTGGAGTAAGAGATCCCCCCTAATTACCATTCCAAGTAAATTAATGCATAGCTAATCTTACTTAGCCGTCTTTCATCGAGTATAGCCAAGCATTCTCATTAATCTGGGGCAAAACAGAAAGGCACCTTCTGGGGAGTTTTGTCTAAATATAATCAGAGCATGCACCAGAGGAATCAAGCCATCTGCGCATCTGGAGACTTGAGAGCCAGTGTTATGTGACTGCACACTTATTCCATCTATTGAGGATAAAGCAGGAGCTTGGCAGCGCTTGGACTCTTTCAGTAAGCAGAATTTTTATGAAGACACAAACATCAGGGCAAGCTTCAACTCAATCTGTCCCCCTTCTACATAACCAAACTGAAAGAAAGTCCTACGGATGTCACTGCTCCACGATTCAAACACTCAGGGGCCATTCCGAATTCCAAACTTTGTATCTTACTGTTCTCAATGCCAACAAAATGCCCTCCCAAACAGTAGGTGGAAACACCTAGCCCACAGCCTCACACACCTAAAGCAACAACACAGAGTCTGGCTACCAGTGCTGACATTTTCAAGGAAGAAAAGAGCATCATCATAGTCTTCATCACCTCATCCTTCAGCCCATGGGAATCCCTTCAAAACAGACCTGCAACTTAAAAATGAGTCATACAGCACTAGCTAAAACACCAAATCAGGTTAGCTGAAAATCAATACAACAAAAAAAATACAAATAGAAGTTTTCTCTATATATTTGCTGGAAAACACTACTCTCAAATCACACAAAACCTATTCCTGAATTGTTTTAATGCTTTAAGGGAAAACATTGCATTGCTTTAATGTGCCCCTCCAAAATACCTGTGTTGGCAACTTAACC